CATTTGGATCTTTCGGTTGCCCTAAATGGAGTGGAGCGAATTCAACTAGCTTTCAGTTACTTAAAAAATATCTAAAAACCATAATCAAAGAATATTTTAAATAATAACAATAGATCTATAGAAGTTAGTTTACAAGACTTTTTGTAAAGAGAGTACAATAAATCCATTAAATCTATTATATAAATCCATTAAATAAAAAGCCATAAAACTTTTATTAGCTAAAAATTAAACAAATTTAAAGTAATTTTTGACTATATATAATACTGTTAAAATTAAAAAAAGCAATTGAGCCAAAACTTTGTCAAAGCCGGCTGTTAAAGGAAGGTCCAATACACATATTGATTAAAATTATAATGGCTTTATAACTGTAATTGTAATATTTTTTATGTTTTAATCACTTTTATATATTAATGGACCTTTAAGAGTCCATTAAAAGTTTTAAATCTTAAAATCTATATTTTATTTACATTAACCCAATACTTTGGAAAAAACTATATGTTATTGAAAAATTAAATTAAATACCCAATCAAATAAAAAATAAAATTTAGTATTAATTATAATAATTTTCAACTTAGTCTTATACCCATACCTTTTAATAATATAAATCTTGACGCTTTGGTAAAGAGTCTTTCAATGTCTTTGCAATATAATTATAGGGAAGTCAGCATTATTGTGAGCACAAAAGATTTCCAAGACCCTATTTTTACATTGAATGTTACTTAAGACATTATTTATTTATCCTTAAACTTCAACACAACATTTATTAATATTGTCTCTGACTAAGTAGTGTAGAAATTAAACATTTACAATAATATTACACCATATATGTTAGAAATACGTTTTCTTATCAACTTCCATAGATATGAAAAAAATAAAAGATCAACAAACACAAAAGAAAAAAAAATAAAGCAATAACTATATACAAATAGCAAATTTTTAATGAACTCTATATACTTCTTAAGTTCACATATGCTTTAATAAATACCAAATAATCAATAACTGCAAATTGAAACGTATAAGTCAAGTACGGCTTAGAGTCCGTTGGCTAATGAACACTGACTCTGAGTTTCAAATTTGGCAGGGCACGAGTTCAACGCTTGGTTCTTGCAGTCTCAAAAAATTATTTACGAATAATTATATAGAAAAAATAATTTCAAAACTACTGTTGATAGTTACATGATAATACTCGAAACAGCTGTATGATCACCCACAAATTCAATTAATTAAAAATAATGAAATTTTGTTGTTATAATTCACTACTGTTAATTTATTAAAAAACTGGTTCTAATCAGAAAATAGTTTCTTTCGTCATAATTGACTTTGACATAAAAAAGAATTTAAACTTAATACTATATGGAGTTATGGGGCCCAATTATGGGGTACTGCAGCAGACTCAAACCTGGCAATTATTCAGCGTTTCCAATCTAAAACATTGCGGATGATCACAAATGCACCCTGGTATATAACGAATGAACAGCTACATAAACAACTACATGTTCGGACAATCAAGGAAGAAATAGCCAGTATTTTAAAGAATTACGCTCATCGCATATATATGCACCCAAACCCGCTGGTGACACACCTGATGTCCCCTTCCAACACTTTTACAAGGCTAAAAAGGAAAACATCTAGAGATATTTTAGATATGTATATGTAAATCACACACTGTTACTTTAAATATATATGGATATGTCACTGGGCATAGTCCATACGTGTCTTTCTTTTTTTTAGATTGTAATAATTATTATTACGATTTATAATTATACATTATTACTTATTGTCATTCATACCTGACAGATTGTAATAAAATAAATGGATCTCAAAAAAAAAAAAAAAAAAAAAAACTTAATACTAGATTCGCATCAATGGTTAATAGACAGTCATATATATATATATATATTAAGGTGTTAACATTTTCAATCATTAAAAAAAAATTTTAAGCTACCTATAACAACCAAAATTATCTTTGGCGTGAGTATACATAAGTGTAGACATACGTTTTATACAAAAAACGAAAACAGCTTTTGTTTATGTATATAGACAAAAATGTTTTGATATGAGCATAGATCTCCATGGGGGACTGTAAAAGGCAACAACATCTACCAAAACATTTACAACGACAAGTCATCGACAAAAGCCTCACTTGCGAGTGGCAGCAAAAATAGATGGAAATAACTCCAAAATAGGAAATTGAAGTGAAATCGCACGTGAGCATGCCATGGTTTTTGCTTTATTAATTTCGATAGCTGCAAGGATATCAAGGATATCAAACAGAACAATACGCAAATTCCGGCAATGTTGCGTATACGCCACCGAAGCACATACGTGTGTTTCATTGGAGCACAGAAATCACAAACGACGCTTACTTTTTATTACAAAATTTCTATTTATGCGTTAAATTTATTGCCTTTTGAAATCAGTATCTTTACATAGACTAAATGAGAAGAAAAAAACTCAAATCACGTTACTATTTGCTGCTGATAATCAAAAATAAATATTTTATCAACAAAAATTTACGACCTGCAGCGTTTCTCTAGCAACGTTACAACGCACGGTCTGCGCTTCATATTATGTGTTTTCATTGCTGTTTGAAAGCAGATATGTTTTTGTCTATCATAGTGCTATAATGGTGCATATACATATATATATTGTACTATGCAATACTTGTATATATGTGTGAAGAAATCTTCATATTCAACTTTACTCCTGGTTTCATTGTAGTTAAACACACAAGTTGATAGGATTATTTACTTGAATGAAACTGCCGCTTCTGTTGATTTTAGCTAAATTGCCGGCGTATCATAATATCTCATCTTTTTATAAAAACAGGATAAATTTCCATAGATCATGTGGCGCCTAGAGTGAAGTGGGCATATTTTCTTTTATATGCTTAAGTATTTTTTGTGTACTTTTGTGTGTTTCTAGAAGGAAAATTGGTTTTTGCAAGCTTTTATATAAGTGGTTAGATTAGATTAGAATCCCCGCCATACAAATGAAGTACGTAATGAAGCCCTTTGGGTTACACAAACGAAATTCTTTATTTAACCTTTAAGTTGAAATTGTTAAATATATTAACCACATTAAGCACATTCAATTTTATTCCGCAGAATAACAATTTTCGTTGAAATTAAGGATCGTAAGTTTAATGTTTTTGTTAATTGTTTTTGATAATCAATTTGGTTTTGATGATTTTTTACTTTAATGATTCATGGTATTATATGAAATTAAATCCTTACGAGTCGTTATGTCTTAATTTATTAACAATTATTATTACTTTTCTTCGTAAAATTTGAGCTAATGCTTATACGAACAAAGTAGCTTTACTGTTAATTGCAAATGATAAAATGTGATACAAACAATATTCTGTTTATATCCAGTGATGTCGTCTTGACCCAGATCAGGGTTAGGCAGCCACAGAGAATAGGACGCAAGCTCCCACCCGCCTTTAGAACATATTCGACATTTTCTTTCCTCAAGTATGCACATCTTGTTTAGATGATAACGTAGGCCATGATGACCTGTTAGATAAGCCGCTAACAATATCGGTTCTGTTCTAAATGTATAGAAGACACATACATTTTTTGTTTTGAACCACAGTTTGATGCTTACCAGAAGCGTCAGTAGCGACTTCTTTTGACTACAAACTTGTTGTGGACCAATCTATTCTATAATAAGATAATAGTTTACAAAAGTGAGTGGCTGCTCTACTTCTTGGAAAGTAAGTGCGGCCTAGCTGCCATCGATTTCTAAGTGACCAGGAACATGGCAAGTCAAATTGTACGCAAAACGAAAAATTTTTTTTGAATATGCTAAGCTGAAAATCTTTCCTTTGTTTTTTGCACGCTTAAAAACTCTTCTTTTCTTTGCTTGATCAAACATCAGTTAGTGTCTAAAGCAATTTCTTACAATAGTGTCTATGGTCTTCCAGATGATTCACTGTGGTAAGAGGTCTCTCAAATAGTGATTATAAGTTCTTCAAATGATTTTATAGCAGTATTCTCTGAACCTCTGCATATCTTCCTGATGGAATATATATCGTATTAGATTTGAGAGAGTGCAATCAATAGTTTTGATGCCATTAGCTGGCACGTTCGCTGATTTTTGCTGCTGTTAGTTAGTATATTTGTCCATTTTTGGCGCTGTTAAAAAATTGTTTTAGCGTGCATATTTGATATTTGTTTTACCCGTTATGGTTAGTTAAAGTGGAGGGAGGAATGAATCCTCCTTTTTTAGCTAAGATAGTCATTTTATATCCACAAATCCTCGTAATGATGGGTAAAAAAACTATCAAGCTAAAACCAGCCAGAAGCATTTATTACGAGCAAAAGTCTGGTCAATGTTAAATTAAATACAACATGTGTTCTGGTGTCGTTTCTTCGAGAGCCCGTACACGCGTTACAGGAGATACTCAGGGTACGCCATACCTAGCCCCATGCCGTCATATAGTCCAGTACTTTATAAAGACAGCTATTACCGTAGCTGCTAAGCGTATCCACAGAAGAGGCGTCTAGCTAAGTCTAGCAAAGTACACAATATAGTACTTTGCAAGAAATACTTTTGATTTTCTTTAATTATACTTCTTATATAGTATATAAGTTAGAATACAGAATTCTACGAAAAATATATTTAATTGAACATTAAACATTAAACATAGGTATAACATTTTTAATATACATATATAATATATTATATATATTTTCAATATAATATATATTTTTTTAATTATATTTGAACCAGTATTTTAACTTTATTCTATAATCATCCTCAAGGTACCTTAAAGATTACTTAATTAATTATAGACCCGATTAGCCCGTTTAAAAACAAAATTATAATTTTAAAATTTTTAATCATTAAAACTATAATATTCTTGTTACACTGAGTACTTAACGACTAAATTTACATTTTATCACTTACTACTAAGAGAGATGAGTATTAACCATAATAAGGTTACCTTATAATATATTTTTAGATTAAGGTGACCATATTACAATACCCCCCCTTTACAATTGTTTCATGTTATCTTTAAATTTACGTGTTCTCAAATTATACTTGTAATTAATTTTTTCTTTCTGATCTACAATATTTTCTTCCACATTTTGACTTACAATATCTTTTGCCTTACTACCAATATTTTCCTCAACTATTGGTTCTTTAAATAATTTAGACCTATTTTCTTCCTCCTGAAAATTGTTCTTACAACCAATCATTTGATTTGCATGTCTTTTCCAGTTTTTTCCATTTTCAGTTTTAACTATATATATCTGTCTTCCTAACTTTTTAGATACATAGCCTTTTGCCCAACTTACTCGGCCTGGTATGGAATAATCTTTTACCATCACGGCCTCATTTTCTTTGAACCTATTGTTCCTCGATCCATAATATTTCTTTTGCTTGTTTTGACTTTCTTCTACTATTTTGTTAACATTTACATTTATTTCAACTTTTCTATGTGGATTAAATAAATCTAGTTTTGTCCGCAACTGCCGACCAAACATTAACGTAGCTGACGCAATACCTGTACTACAGTGTTTAGTATTACGATAATCAAACAAAAATTTATTTAATACTACATTAAAATGTCCTGAATCAACATTAAGTAGACTTCGCTTTAACGCGTTTTTTACGGTTTTAACCGCATTTTCTGCCTGACCATTAGTTGCAGGATACCCTACCGGAGTTGTGAAATGCTTAATACCACAATTCTTTAAATATATTTTAAACTCGTTGGATACAAATGCAGTTCCATTATCAGACACTAATTCATGTGGCAGTCCAAAACGTGCAAAAACATCCTGCAATTTTTCTATTACTGCCTTACTAGTTGTATTTCTACCCATGTCAATACATTCAATCCACTTGGTATGTGCATCAATTATAATTAAACACCATCGCTTAAAACATGGTCCAAAAAAATCAATGTGCACCCTACTCCAAGGTTTGTCTGGCCACTTCCATACTTTTAATTCCTGCTTAGGTGGATCTGCCCTTGTTTTAAGACATGGCTCACAACCTTTAACTGCTATTTCTAAATCATTAGTTTGTTTTGGCCACCAAGAACATTCTCTTGCCCTAGACTTCATTTTCACTATTCCCATGTGTGATGAGTGTAATAATTCCACTACCCTATGTTGTAAGCTTTTAGGAATTACAATTCGATAAGCCCAGAAAACACAATTTTGCTCATAAGATAGTTCATTCTTCTTCCTAAAATATTGTTCCATATCTACATCTGTGCATTTGCTTGGCCAACCCTTAAGAATATACTCTTTAACTTTTTGTAGCACCTTATCTTTTTCAGTCTCTTTTTTTACTAACTCTAAATCTAACTGAATTTTGTTGCTTTCTTTAACATAGTTAAAATACACATCAGACTCTAACCATTTATTTTCACAGTAGATTTTGGACGGAAATCTTGAAAAGTAATCTGCTACATTTTGTGTTGATCTGATATGCTCAACCTGAAAATTGTAACCCGACAATGCTAACGCAATACGTTGTAATCTGTTTGCCGCCATCTGCGGTATACCTTTTTTAGGATTAAAAATATACTGTAAGGGTTTATTATCTGTCACAAGTATAAATTTACGTCCATATAGATATTGGTGAAACTTGGTAACACCAAACAAAATAGCTACTGCCTCCCTATCCAATTGAGAGTACTTTCTTTCTACTGGCTTCAAAATTCTTGAAGCAAATTCGATTGGCTTTTCAACACCGTCTGGCGCTACCTGTGAAAGTACTGCTCCCACGCCAATCGGACTTGCATCTACTGTTAACTTTGTTCCAAACTCCGGATTAAAATGTGTCAGACATTTATCCGCTATTACTAAATTCTTTAATTTATCTATTGCTTTAGAACATTCGTTTGTCCAGACAAACTGACTATCTCCCTTCATTAAGTCATACAATGGAGAAGCTATATTTGCCAGATTTGGTAAAAAGCGTCTATAAAAATTTATCATTCCCAAAAATGCTTGAAGCTCTTTCAGATTTTTTGGATAAGCAATATCTTTGATCATCTTAATTTTTTCAGGGTTAGTATGTAACCCCTCTTTATCGATAATATGACCTAAATATTCCACTTTTTTACAGAAAAAATTACACTTTTCTAGGGATAATGAAAATCCTGCATCTTGTAAAACACTTAACACTTGTTTTACTCGTTTAACGTGTTCAACTCTATTCCCTGCTGTGATCAGTATATCATCAATAAAAACAACTACTCCCTCAATTTTTAGCAACAAATTTTCCATAATTTTTTGGAAAATTGCCGGAGCGGATGCCAACCCGTAGACTAAACGTTTATATTGAAACAACCCTTTAGTTGTTGAAATGGTGGTCAATTTTCTTGAATCTTCATCCAACTCCATCTGTTGATATGCCATTGTAAGATCTAATTTAGTGAATTCATCACCTCCCTGTAACTTTGCAAATAATTCTTCAATACGTGGCAAAGGATATTTGTCCACAATTAGGACTGGATTTACTGTTACTTTGAAGTCTCCACAAATCCTCACCTGACCGTTCTTTTTTAATACAGGTACTATCGGCGTTGCCCATTCACTAAACTCTATCGGTTCTAACACATCCATATTTACTAAATCCTTTATTTGCTTTTCTACTTTATCTTTAATTGCCAATGGCACCGGCCTGGGTTTAAAAAATTTTGGAACCGACCCTGCTTTTACTGACAACTTAACTTGTCCTTTTGTGAAACATCCTAGTTTACTGTCGAATAGCTTTGCAAACTGATTTCTTAATTCTTCACTTAATTTGTCAACAGTAACATAATTTAATTTTTTAAAATCAATTTCAAAAACATTTAAAAAATTTCTGCCTAGCAAGGCTGGACCCTCACCTTGTACTATCAAAAATCTCACTACTCTGCACAATTCTTTGTACGTTACCTGCACGTCCACAACTCCCACAGGGTTTAATTCTACACCATTATAGGTCTTCAAAATTATATTAGTCTTCTTTAGTTGATTCATATTAAAAAATTTTTTAAAATCATTTAATGAAAAAATACTAAACTGCGAACCCGTGTCCAGTTGCATACAAAACTCTCGATTTTCCACATTCACATTTATATAAATTGGATCGTCAATTTGTTTTTCTTTATTCACCAACGGAAAAAAATTTGATTCAAAAAAATTAAAATCTTTTCTATTTAGCAAACACATTTTTTTTAAATGCCCTTTCCTATTGCATTTTTTGCATTTATAATCTTTATATTTACATACACTGCTTTTATGGTTATTATACCCACACACTTCGCACTTTTTTACTTCTTCTTTTTGCATCTGCTGTCTCTCATTATCATGCTGCCATTTCTCACTGCGCTGCTGACCATGTCGTCGCTGCGGCTGCGCTGCACTGTATCGCCCGTTATTTGATGTGTTGTTTCGCATGTAAAATATTTCCTCTTTAACTGCTGCTTCTAACGGCTGTTGGCTATATTCCGCTGCTTTCGCCATTTGTACCGCTTTTTCAAAAGTTAATGTTTCTACTGACTCTAACATTAACTTGTCCTTGACTATACTTCTTTCAAGGCCCATTATAAACTTATCTCTTAACGCCATTTCAAGGTGTTCACCGAAATTGCATTGTGTAGCTAAATTTCGCAGTTTTATTGCCCAATCGTTTACCGATTCTTGTTGCTGTTTACTGGCGCCATAAAATCTGCACCTCTCAGCAAAACCAATTGTCACTGGCTTGAAATGTGCTTCCAATACCTTTACACATTGTTCATAAGTGACTTCTACTGCGTCCACCAATTTTGGACTCAATAGATTCTGTAACAGCATAAAACTCCTCTCCTCCAATGACGTAACCAGCATTGCTTTTTTTTGAATTTCGTTTGTCACTTGGTTGCAGATCAAGAACTGCTGCAACTTCGACTTATAAATACTCCACGAACCATTTTCGTGGTCAAAACTAGGTAATTTACCCAAAATTTGATTTTTTTCCACTGTGGCCATTTTTACTGGATTTTGTTTTTTTTTTTTCTCCTCGTCGCCACTATAATATTCTTGTTACACTGAGTACTTAACGACTAAATTTACATTTTATCACTTACTACTAAGAGAGATGAGTATTAACCATAATAAGGTTACCTTATAATATATTTTTAGATTAAGGTGACCATATTACAAAAACAATAAAGTATTAAAATTTAAATAATTTTTATTCGTAAGCTTTAAACCTATTTAACTTTCATTTCTGTTGAACTTCAATGAAAGCATTAATTTAACTCCTGCGTATTTATTTTTACTATTTATTTTTGCGAGCTGTAAAATACCACCTCCTTAATCACAATCAAGATAGAATGAAACTTGGAGTTATTTACTACATTTTTACTAGCAGTTTATTTAGTTAGTTGATTTATGCTTCAATTTAAACTTATCTCTCAACACCTGTCAATGTTAGTCAATTTGACTAACACTGTTAAGTACGTCTGTCCACTAATCCAGTTTCCATTTACATTGAAAATTGCAACTGCACAAGTACGACGGAAAGTATCTTTTACGACGAGAAGAACATTTTATGTTGATTGCAAGTTTACTTACCTCTCAACAGAGGATGTGCTTTTAATTATTTATGTATGAGTTTGAACTCTTCGAGTACCAGACCTTGCCTGTTGGCAGCACCCAGCTATTCATAATTTTCAAACGAACTCGTAATTTTTAATGTTTGTATATAAATTTCTTGGACTGTTAAGTCTGTAATAAAAGTTGTAATTAAATAAATACAGTAGAACGATTTCAATTCTATAATATATTATATAAAAACTAAACAAAAATAAATGAAAGAAGAAG